GAATAAATAAATAATAAAATAGGGGCAAGTGGTCATTATTTACAGACAAAATCCATAGTCATAAGGCAATGTCTAGTTCTCGAATCCATTCTAATGCTAAGATCAGGGGTGTAGTCTTTGCGCCATCTGGCTGACTTAAAAGTTCCCATATCCTTAGCGCTATAGTTAAATTGCAAATTGTGTAGAGCAATCCATTCTTGGAGCACTTCTCCGTTATCGTCATTTTGATCATAGCCCCAATCACTGTTGTGGCTGTTAAAGTCACCTATACACACGGCTGGGTGATCGAATAGTTTCACGGGCGGGTTTTCCCAATTGGCATTAGGTGGTTTATATACATTTATTATTGTGACGTTATCTATTGTAGTTGCTAATATTTCTATGTTATTCAAATGGCTTCTGTAGACTACATTCGCTGTATCAATATCATTTTTGACATATGTTGCTATACCATATTGCCTATGATTGATGGCTCCAATTAATGTGTATCCAGCTATGTATGCTCGTTTTTGCTAATCGGCTTCGTCAGTTGTGTGTGTTTCCTGAAGGGCAATGACATCCACTTTATTGTTGATCATGATTTTTGATAATATCTCACATTTGGCTTTTGTGATACCCTCAATATTGAGGTTACGTATCCTAAGATAAGTACCAATATTTAGCGTCAAGTGGTCCTTAAAAGGACCATTTTTGTTAGGCATTGTTAGTGTTGATTTGTATTGCTAGTATATTGTTTATGNTTGTTTATGCTTGTTACCGTTAAAGAATACTAGTAAATGCAGGGGAGGCCACGAGCAGGCTTCCATCATCTCCCCCAATCATGTAATCACCTAACCTAACCTAGAAATTGTATAATTTTAAAAATATTAAAATGTTGATTATAATTATAATGACTCCAGTAATTTTATTTATTTCTGATATTATAAAAGTTTAATTTTGTATTATTTTTTTTTATGTTTTGAATTAATTAAATTAAAGACATATTAAAACTGCCTAAAATTAACGATTTAATTTTATTAATACAATTTTTGTATACATTAAGACCATAAAGTGGGTATATTATACACTTACATAATGTTGGTAGGAATGGGGGGGTCGTATCATCGAAATAATAATTTTGGCGATCGTGGATTAAAAAACGTAGCACACCACTGATGTAGTGGACAAAAATCGTTATTCTGTCTAGGTAACTCTGTCTAATTTTTCCGTTAAAACAAGTCAGTGGATCACGAATATAAACATAATACACAAACTTAATAAAAGTCGAGATCTATAACAAAAATTTGAAATATTAGGAGAACACAATAACACCAGCCAACTCTGCTTTTACTATAGGTGGCGGTTTCCCCACTAGACCGATCTGGAACTCATTTTTGATAGGTACACATGATATAACGAAATAATGAAATAGATATTTTTTTTTAAATTTTTTTTTCATACGTTGTATTATAAATTTTTTTGTCAAATTATATTTTTCTAAATTGTATAATTTCGAAATGTTTTTTTAATATATCTGTTCCCATTCTCAGATTAATTGCCCAAATCTGTTACTTATCTACTAATTCTTTTATTAAATGTTTTTTAATCCATATAACTTGTCTCTTTTTGCTTGGGTAATACATGAAAACTAATATTTGAATCGCTAGAGTACCTATAACGTTATACAACCATAATCCCCATAATAATTTCTGCTTGTTCCTCATACTGCCATATGTAATCTATATAAATAAACAGTATCTAAATAGAATAGTTTGAAAAATGGCAATGTTAATATTAATTATAAATGTTGAATGGTAAGATACCTACATATTATACAAATAATTTTAAATAATAGGAATTAGTTAAAAGTATTGGCTTTTAAGTTAGCATAGAAACAAATATAAATATGGAATAGTGAATACGTGTATGTTACTATGGGATTTAAATATATTTATTATATTAAAATATTTATCGTAGTTTTTTTAATTATTTGAAACCTAAACATTTCGATTTACATAATAAATATACTGATAATTTCGAAAACGCAAAAAAACTAATTACAATGATTAGAAACGACTACATTAAAACCTTTCCTAAATTGAATAAGCTCTCCGAAAACCTGGAAGCAAAAGCTGTTAAAAGATATACTTCGAACATTGATCAGGTAATTATTTGTTTCATCGTCAGTTTTCAAATTATAAGAGTACATATTGTATCGTTTTAATGGGACTTTTTGTAATCTGACTACAAATATGTTTAAATTATCGACAAAATCTTAACAATTCATAAAATTATATATATATATATATGCGATGAAGAGAATAAATTCAAAATTTAGTTTTTTTTTAATATTTCTTTTCCCATTATCAGTTCAATTGCCCATATCCGTTACCTATCTAATAATTCTTCTTTTAAACGTTTTTTAATCTATATAACTTTTGTCTAATTTAGCTTGGTTGTACATTTTAATTATTTAACTCATTTTTGTTTATTTTGGTGTGTTTTCAATATAAATTAGTATTATTATTATTATTCGTATCATTGTCTGCAAAATTGGCGTTATGTTTTGTATTTTTAAATTGGGTAAAGTGATATTGGCCAGTCACCTGCTGTGATTGTGATTGTGAGTAACTATCTTTTATTATTGTTGCATACCGTTTAATATAATAAATTAAGTTACTCAAATTACATTGGGTGAATAACCGTAATCACCAAATGGAGATTATTTATTTTTGTATACGTGTGCGCCAATCTCCCCGATTTTATTTTGTTACTGTTTATTCCGATCCATTATATAGCAAAATATTTACAGACAATTGAGAAACCATTGTTTTTTGTGTAAATTTGGTTACTGTTCAAAAGTTAGTTAAACAAGTGTACAAATAACACGTGGTTTATGGTTATAGATAGTTTTTCAGTATTTATTAATTATCATCACGAATTCGAAAAAAACCTGGCTTGTCTGGAAAAACTCAGATAAGGAAGTAATCAGTTAGAGTTATGATACTTTTACTTTACATAAAACATCACAGATCTAGCATAAAATAAGGCTCTGGACATACACTTACAACAGATATATCAACATAATCCCACTCCATATCTAAGACACTGATCTCATGTAAAAAAAAAGAAAATGGTTTATATTGTAAATAAACATAGTTATGTGAGAAACTTAATATTATAGTAATAGTATAGACCAATATTCATTGATAAACATATGAAATAATTTATTGTTGTTTGAAAATTGTAAACAGGATAAAG